AAGCTGATCTCTGAAATCCTTCTAGTAGAGGCACCAACATAAAATTTCTTCCTGATTAGCTCGATTTGCTCTATCTTCGGCATCGATGGCTTTGTCACATAACTGAGCTAGATGTTGTGAGGCTTCATCAATGCTGTAGGTAACTTTTTCAAGACGGGCCGTCTCAGAAACTTCAGTCACATTATTATGGTTTAAAGAAGATAGACTATCAGATTCTGGAGGGGTGAATAATTCATGCTTGAGTTCATCCATTCCTTTTTTCTTATGTAACCTGCTACCTCTGGTAACTCTCTTTTGATTATGAATCACTGGATCAGAGGTAGGACACTTGATCTCTTGAGGCATTTTCTCTTCGGGATGTGTTGGAAGAGACTCTTGGGCTTGAAGTTTTTTTTCCTAATTTCTCTGCCCAATCTCATTACTAACCTTTTTCTTATGCACTTCATCTAAAAAAGAATCTGTTTTCTTATCTTCCGATGACTTGATGTCTGCGTTATTATTAGATGCTCTATTTATGGGCTGACTCATTACAGAATCAGATATATCATTTGAAGCGAAGTGCCTCTCAGGCTCAGCATCTGGCTGTGATACAGCGATTACCTCTGATATCTTTTCTTCTCCAGAGCACGAGTTCTGTGCATTAGTAACGTGCTGTAGTTGCTGAAGCCTTGTGAGATTGGAGGAATCGAAATCATGTCTCAATTTGACTAATTCAGCTTTGAGCTCTGCATTCTCAGCTGAAATATTGGCACTATTTTTCTCTAATTCTTCAATTCTAACTTTGTGCTCAGCATTCTCCTCAATAATCTTTCTCAATTTCGCATTCTTATTCTTAAGTTCTCTATTCTCACCTTCGATCTTAGCAACCTTCTTCCTAAGCTCACAAATCTCAGCTAAGAGCTTGGCATTTAATTCTCTTAATGAATTGTTGGATTGAGTGTTTGTCATGATGGATAGTATTTTTATATAAGATATAAAATATTCAATAGTCCATTAGTATATAAAAAGATATGTCATGATATTGGTAACCATTCATTTTGAAATAAAAATTTGCAGAACTGCGTAGTCTCAGAAAATTTGCAAGAAAAAATTTTTTTATTAATACACTTAGATTTTTATTTCACATCGATGCTTTTGCCAAGAAAAATACTCATATACAGATTAATATATATCATTATCTGTTAACAATGCAATAAAATAAATACACAAAAAGTAAACACGATTATGGATATGAAATCGAGTCAGCTTTATTAGTATGATATAAATAAAAATAAAAATTATGGTGGAGGAGTAGATATGTCGTGCCTCAGATCAATTCTTGCATCAGATTAAAACCGGCCTAAGTTAGATTAGGGTTAGGGTAAGAATCTGGGAAGGATTTGGGCTTAATTTAAGTCAATCAATATCGATCATTTAATGCGGGCCAAAAAGTTGACATCTGACGCAAGCATTAATCTGAGGCACAACATATATATATATATTTTTTATTTTTTTTTATTTCTTAGACAGTCTTGTCAGAGCTCAAATACAAAATTATCTTATTACAGTAAAAAAAAAACTACTCTAATAAAAACTCTAATTTTAAAATTGCAAGCCCAACATCATCTAGCTACTATATTAAGTGCCTAGATGCAATCTGTTATACTGGTTCTTTATTGAACCAGGGGACCTTGTCAGCTCTGTCAAGAACTAAACCAGAAGGGGGTTTTTCTGCTTCTTATTACTTCATCTAATGCTTCTCTAACTAGCTTGTCAACTTTGGCTTCTTTTTCTCTTCATTGCTCTTTTTTTGACAACTCCTCACTATTGCTTGTCTTGCTTTTCTCCCTTGTCATACTATGAGTCTTTATTTTCTTCTTTTTTGCTTTACCTCTTGCATTTACCAGGCCAGAATTTCGTGGTTTACTATGCTTTTGTATACTGGTTATTCTATTCTTTTTCTCCCATTTGGCTACTGCCTTGCAGCATCTCTGCTATATTTCATTTTAAAAACTCACTTTCACAACTTAGATTTAGTCATGAATTATTTGGTTATATGTTTTCCTTGTGAGACCCATATTACCTAATGCAGCCAGTACTTCTTCATGCACCAGACCACCTACATAGTCATCTCTTCTTGAACTTCATACTGTGTGACTTTCACCAACAATAACCTTCTTCAACTTGTCTACTGAAAATAATGACAGAAAAACGTCCTGAATTTCTTACCAGTTTTATCAAAAAATTCAACCCTGATCTTGACTCTTCTTTTACTCTCCCTTTTACAGCTTTACAAACTACCCTTAAAAACCTTCTTACCAAATTCACTCAAGTTTTCTTTACCAAACTCGACTATGTATATATTCTGCGCTCACATTATTTTATACTACCTTATACAAATACAAATCGAAGCAAAATCACTATTAATTTAGCATGCTTATACTTATTTTTACATAACCATTACCAAACTATTCACTATTCAAACTTTATTAAAGATTTGGACATCAAGCCAATCTGACTTACTTTAAAATATAATATTCTAGTTGATGAACCCAATAAACCTCTTTTTGATATTTATAATGACAGAAGGTTTAATATCTTCGTAACATTAAATATCCCCAAAAGCAAATTCCTTGACACCTTCCATACTCCATCTCTAAAACCTCACTACAATACCCTTAAAGACTGGTATGAAAAGTTCTTTGAAGCTTACGAAAAACAATTTGAAAAAATCGACAAAACCAAAGTCTTCAACTTTATCAAGTATAACATAGCAAGTAAACTCTCTGAGGACTGCAAAGCCCTTCTACCAACAAACTTTACTCTTTCAGAAGTAACCTCGTTCCAAGAACGTAAAGATGACTCATCTAAAGCTGCACTCTTTCATTTGCATACATGCAAAAATAAAGATTGCAATATCCTTCCTATTGATAAAGACCATAATCTTAAAGAATTATACTTCTTCTTTCTTAAAAAATCCTTTGAACAGTTTCTTCCTCCAGAATCATCTTCTACTAAAGAAACTATAAACTTTCCTAAACTAGATTTTACAATTTTTCTACCAGACCAAAAACTCTACGCAACTTTTACCAAACCTTTTCCACTTCCATCCTTCCAAGAACTTGCAGTTCAAGCTGACCAAAATTATACAAAATTAAACCAAAATACAACATCGTCACCTTAACGAATCACCTACTACCTTTATACATACCTAAGACAATACTTCTTTCAAGCAGCAAAAAATGATAAGATAGACGACCTTAGCCTTGATGATGCACTTGCAAAATTTATCACATCTACTTCAGATCCACACACTCTTGCTAGAATTATTGCCTACTTTGACCTTGCTTTTAAAATTTCAACTACAAAACTTAAAAAAAAATACGATCAAAACTACTTTCTACAAGCTGAACAATTTATTATTAAACACTTTAAACTTAACATCCCCTCTCAACTCAATGACTCACTTTTTCTTAAAAAAACACAAATAACTATACCTTCTGCCTCCAACTTCCTTTTTGTCTAAATTTGTCTTCTACAAATAACATAAAAGTAGCTGCCACTATATTAAAAGATGCAACCAATGCAGTTAATATAGAAAATGATGTAAGTAGGTGGGTGGTAAAGCCTATTTACCCGGAAGATTTAGATAATGACGGCCCTCTAATGCTTAACCAGAAGGCTTCCAAATCTTGCGGAGCCATGAAAGCCAGGCATATGGTAATCGCTATAGAAGACATTTCTCATATGGCCTCATCCTCAACATCATTAGCCTCCTATGAGCCACAAACAACACACCTTTTCCCAAACCCAACAGACCAGCTTCTTATAAATCCAGACCTTGATAATGAACTTCTCCCAGATCCTGATCTAGATTACAATCCTCAACACAGCCCTGATGATACTCAACTCGAAACTATTACACAAATAACTGAGGTCCTTGGCTCTATAGACCCTCTTACATGCTATAATAAGTTTCTCTTTTATTGTAGATTACTTCCATTAGAACACCCACAATCTGTCTTTGCTTTTTTTCAATATATCAGACATGACTTTCCCTCATACTACTCATCAGACATTATCAAAATCTCTATCCTTAATATTAAAGATCGTGATAATAACTACCTTGAGGCACACATTTATCTCCTACATGAGCTATGCCTACTCTCTAACCACTTCATACTACCCTTTTCCTTCTTACTTGACTGGTTCAGATATGTCACTCTCAAGTCAACACAATTACCTTTTTATACACAATTACTTCCCAACAGCTCAACTATTTCTCACTCACCCACCCAATTGTCTATACCAGATAACCTACTCCTCTTATCCAATTCTTTACACACTCCTAATTACACAGTCACCCCAACCTTACTACCTTCTTCTAATCACCTCAACCTTACTATAGCAACCCATAATGTTAGAGGTTTTAATATAGCCTCTAAAAGACAACTATGACAAGATTATTGCACTAATCATAATATCTCTATTGCCTGTATTACTGAAACCAAAATCTCTCGTAAAACTAAACTTTCCTTCTGTAACAACAATTTCTATACCTACTATTGGTCTAATTCTGAAAGCTCTGCTAAAGGAACTGCCATTATGATCCAAAACTATCTTAAACCTCACTTACATAGCTGCTATACACATCCTGGAGATGCTCTTGCACTAGATCTTTTCTTCAAAAGCAATATCAAACTACATATTATCTCTGTCTATCTTTCTTCAACTGACTCTACCAAACGCAATCTTACACAAAATACTATTATCAACTGGATCCTCCAAGCCAAACAACAAAACTTGCATCCTATTATCCTCGACGATTTTAACACACATGATGATATTAGCAGCTCCTCAACTAAATTTAAACTCATTAACTTCCTTCACTGCTCAAACCTGTTTGACATTGGTGCCCATTTCAACAACACTCACCATACTTGGTCCAACGATACCAATTCTAGCTGAATAGACTATATTTGGACTGACTCATTTAACCTACAATTTCTCCTAAACTTCAATCTGGATAATAGTAAAACTAGCACCTTGAGTAACCACCTAATCCTCTCCTTCTTTTAGACATTCCCTCATGCTTTTAGCAAACCTCCTCATCTTCATTCTAACATCAGTCGTAGAATTTTTGATTACAAATCTACCTCTTCTGATTAATGGACCCAATTCTCTGATCTTACCCTTCACCTCTTCTCTTAATAACATGTTTCCCCACATATTCATGCATCAGAAAGCATTGACACAACTTGGCACAAAATACAATACTGTATCTTGCAAGCTGCTATTCAAACTATCTCTAACAGGATAACACACAAGCACAGCTATAACCATAAATATAGCCCACAATGCACTGC